GCTCTCCCTGGATCTGCCAGCGGCTCTAACTTCAAATCCCAAGGCCTGATCTGGCTGTCCCCAGTTGCAATTTTTTTTTTTGGAGACCAGGGGACAGCAGCAGGCCCGCCTGGGGCCTTCCTGCCTTGCCATGGCTCAGAGCGCAGGGCCTGGAGAGCTCAGCCTTCCCTAGAGCTCCGCGAAGCGCGCTCCCCCTCCCGGTTCCAGGAGATGGAGCCTTTGTCTCGGCGGGTCCCTCACCCTGGGGCCGCTGCAGCCGATGCGCCAGAGCCGGGGACCGCTGAGCGGGCGGCTGCACCTGCCGGCTGGTCCCGTGCGCCGGCTTTGCGCGGCTTAACCCGGCTCGCTCCTGCGTGCGCCCCCGCGTGACGCACCCCGCCGCCTTTTATCCAGTGTGGCTGGGGGGGGGTGCAGGTGGGGGACAGTGCCCGATCTGGAAGTCTCCCCCCCTCTTGTCCCAAGCCGGGAGGGAGTCCGAATCCGTTTTGTGGCATTTCAATCCCCACGGGGCGCAGGGGATCTGCAGCCGGGAGGCGGAGGAGGCCGGACCCGGGGGCCTTTCGATTCAGCTCCGGTGGAGAGGCCAGGCTTGGATGAGGAGGGCGGAGTTGACCCAGCTGCAAAAGGCAAGGTCCTTTGGCGTTCAGGATCGGCGGGTTTGGTGGCTGCATCTTTTCCCAGCAAGCAAGGAAAAAAAAAAATTCGTTGGTTTTGGAAAAAAGAAAAAAAATAGTGACATCTGTCCGGGGTTGGGAACATCTGGCTCCGGGTCTACGCAGCATCCCGCGCTGGGATTCGTTTAAAAGCAAGCAGGATTCAGGAACCAGGTAGGGTGAAAGCGACTGACCAGGCGTCTGGAGAGCGTGTCCCAGCCGGGTTGACGAATTGCAAACAAATGGCGTCTAACGAAACGGATTTAGCAGTTGCCAAGGGTCTGTTCAGCCAGGGGCTCTGGGGAGCACCCGAGCTGTTAGGAGGAGGAGGTTAGACACGCAGGCGGATTGTCCACAGGTCTCAGGTGACCCCCCTGTCCCCAGGAGGTGGAGGTTGGAACCCCGGTAAAGAGATCTAGAATCTCCCCAGGTGCCTCGTGGGTTCAGGCCGTGAGGTCCACTAAGACCGTCCGCCTCGGTCTCTAGTCTCCAAAGGAATCAGTATGGAAGGGCAGAGCCCGCTTCCTAAGGAGGCCCAGGAAGAGGACACTGAGGGTGGAGTGGGGTGGAGTGGGGGTGAAAGAGGAGGCCAGGACCCCAGAAAGAGCAAGCCTCCTGATTTGTTAAAAAAAAAAAAAGAGGGGGGGTGCTAGAAGCCTGGTCCCCCTCTTGGGGAGAACCTCTGGAGGGCTGGGCAGAGCCTGAGCAGGTCTGAGTACCCGGTCTAGAGGGACTTCTGAAGCTTATTAATGACCCTACTTCCTCCCCACGATCTTTCGAGATTTATTGGCAGTGTGGCCAAGTAAAAGTCCCTAAAAAAGAAAAAAGAAAGATGTCGAAAAATGGGGGTTCCTTGAAACCCCCACACACACCTTTCCTGCGGGCTAATTAGCTGCTCCTAGGAAAAGCCTAGAAAAATTAACAGGCAAACTTATGATCCCAAAGGGGCCGCCTCGGATGAATGAGGTTTAAACAAAGGGCCCAGAGGGGGATTTGGATCCAAGTGGGAGACCTGGGCAGTAGTGACCGGGTCTGGCATTTGGCAGCCTTTTTGTAGAAGCGAGGTCCTGCTCTAGAGCCGGGCCTGGAGGAGTCGGGGGCCCTGGACTCTCGTGTAGAACCATCTCTGGGGCCGATGGGGGGTGGGGAGTATGCTTCCTAGGGAAATCCCTTGAAAAGGGCCCTTCTCCAATTCCACTTTTTTCTCGGCCAACCTTCCTCAGTCGCCATAAAAAAAAAAAAAAAAATCTTGTCTCCGTGTAAAGAACGTGACAGCTCCTTAGTGCGATCAAAAGCAGCATTTTGCTCAGGATCCAACAAGACCAAAGTCAAAAATGGACCAGGAGGATTTTATCCCTCCGGAGTGGTCCCGAGGACACCATCATCCAATGCATAAAGTGGAATGAATTTGCTCTGATTGGGGCTGGGAGGGACAGTCACCTCAATACCGGAGCCCGGGGCTGATCCAGGGGACAGACCTGGCTGGCCATCGCTGCCGGAGGTTTGCTGGAGACTAGAAGTGGCAGAATTGTCTGGCAGGCCTAGCGGGGGAGGCTTTGGAAGATTGTCCGTCGGTCCGTCTGGCTCATGCATATATGGAGAGCGCAGGCCCCCCCCCCCCAGTTTATAGGCCATCTCGGCTGATGGCTACCGGGCGTGGCACTTGGCTGTCCCAGGCGGGTTCCTTCCTGGCTGGAAAACTCAGCGAGATCCCGCATCCAACGCAGGAGTCCACACCTCGGTGGAGGCTCAGGCCAGGCCAGCTGGCTGCTTGCAGTTTGCAGAAAGGCATCTCCAAGGGTCTCCAGGGACCTGGCGGAATCCCCTTGTTCTTTGGATTCGCTTTGCGCCCAGAGCGCGGGCAGCCGGGGCGGTGCGGGTCTCGGGAGGCCCCTACTCCAGCGTCGCCTAAGCGCCCGGCTAAGCGGCTGCGATTTTCTGAGCCGCCGATCGGGGTAATTGAATCTCCTCCTGCGCTTTGCTCTCTGCCAGCCCGGGCGACAGCGCTTGGGGTGAGGTTTGGAGAGGGGGACCTGGACCAGCCGATCCCCTTCCCCCCTCTTTGGAGGGACCGAGACCCCATTCCTGTAGCTGAAATTGCATCCCCCTGTCCCCTGCACCCCAGATCGAGAAGATCATTGTCCCCAACGTTGGGGACAAAAAAATAAATAAATAAAGGCGCATTACCTGCTCTCCCGGGTGCTCCGAGCTGCCCACCTCCGTTTGCGATCGTGGCCGGGGTGAGACGCTTCCGCTCGGCTCCGGCGATCACCGCCCCGCGGCGGGGACGGCTTCCCGCGGCTGAGTCCCTGCCTGGTTCCAGCTCGGTGGCTTTGCAGAACAACAGGAGGGGGGAACGTGTCCCCAGGCCGTGGGGGGTCTTGGAGAGGCTCCTGTTCAGGCCCAAAGGGGCTCCCAGCTCCGTGGCGATCTCATTTTACGCGTGGAGGCAGGATCGGGAGCTGCAGGAGGGGAGACAGGCGTGGGGCTCCCGGGCCGGACCGAGCGCCTGGTGGGGAGCGCGCACCTGGAGTCCCGGAGGTCACTCACCTGCCACGCTGCGTCCCCCGAGAGGCCCGGAGCCAGCCAGCGGCCTTGCGCTCCCGTGCCCCGGCTCCCCCGCGCGCCCTTCTCGGGGCGGACGCCAGCCTCCTCTCCCGAGGAACGGAATTCCAAGCAGCCCAGGCCCCGCGCTCTCCGGAATGGAAAGGATCGGGAAGGACGCAGCGGGTGGCCAGGGGGCGCCTGGAGGGTCCCCTCCGGCCGGGTTTCCAGCTCCAGGGAGCTCAGCCTCCCCCAGCCCCGTGCCTCTACCTGCGCCGGGGGCCTCGGACCCACAGACTCCAGACGCACAGGCAGGAGAGGAGGCCCCAGCCAGGAGCCTGCGCGCCCCCCATTTGGCGCTGCCTGGTGCTGGTCTGGGAAGGGGGGTGACCCGGGCGCGCCCCGAGGATCTCGAGCCTGGGCCCGGCGCCCCCCGAAGCCACGGGGACGAGGGCTTTCCTCCCTCCTCGGATTATTAAAAAGTTCATTTCCTGGCGAATCGGGTGACGTCAGGGGCCCGGCGTCGCGGTGGCGGGGCCGCCGGGGCCGGAGAAGCCGCCTCCAGTTACCCAATTACCGACTGTCAATCCCGCCGCCCCTCCCCCACTCTCGGTGGGTAAAGGGGGGGGTGGTCGGGACCCCAGCCCTCCTCCTGCCCCCCCACCGGGTCCCACCTGAGATCCTGCTGGATGGGTACCCCATGGTGGGCCCAGCCAGGGGACAGGAGCTGGAGGGTATCCACGACCCCTCCTCCCATCACCCCGCACCTGTTTAGGTTCCCCCAAATCTCTTTAGGGGGGATCCCCTCTGTCCTCGGTCACAGGGGTCCTTTTGGAACCTCGGTCTCTCTGCTCTCTGGACAGTGGGTGGCAGCTAGATGGGCGCACCCGGCCCCATGAAGCCCCAGAGATGGATCCCCGGGATGGAGGTGTGTGCGTCCCCCCCCACCCCCGTTCCAGGTGACCCGGGGGACGCAGTGCTCAGAGACCACCGCCTGCCCCCTCCCTGGGGATCGCCTCCGGGGAGTTGAAAACAAAATGCCTTCTTTCTGCCCCGGGGCATGTTCCTGGAGCCAAGGCTGGCGCCAGTCCGGGTCTCCTCGGCCTCGCCCCAGGCTGTTCAGCCCGGTGGTCTGCGAAGGCCACGCCCGGAATGACCCACCCCCTTTGTGGAGCCGCCGGCCAGGCCACCTCCACGGGGTCAGGCACAGCCCAGAGCGGCCGCGTGTCCCCAGGCCCAGGTGCCCTCCAGGGCCGGCTCGTTCCTGCGGCTGTCCACTCCTGCTGTCCCAACAGCTGCCCTTGGAGTCCTCCCCCACCCTGCGCAGGCAGCCCCCAGAGTTGGGGGAGGGAGCGATCTGGGAAGGTAGCCGGGCTCCGAGTGACCACCATCAGTGGGAAAAGAGGTGGGACTTCCTCCGAGTGAGTGGAGGGACTAGGGTCCCTAAGAGGAGGACACCCGGACAGGGTGCCAGGGCCGGGCTACTGGGAAGAAAGGGGGACCCGGTGAATGGTTAGTGACTGCGAGAGGGGACCAGGTTGGAGGGATCCCATAGTGTCCCCAAGAAGGGACCCGCGGGTGAGGGTCCCTGGAGGGGGGCGTTGGCAGCAGGGGCTGCCGGGAGGGCGCTGGGAGGGGGGCCCCCGCCAACCGAGGGGGCCCGCCCGCGGGTCAGTCCGGGAGTCCAGCGGACCGGGAGTTGCGGGCTCAGCCAATGGGAGGCGGAGGCTGGGCGGCGCGCGGCGCTGATTGGCTGGCGCCGGCTTCTTAGGCGTGCGCGGCCCCCGCTTCATGTCTGTGCAGGAGTCGGCAGCTGGCGCCAGGGCGGCCGGAGGATGCCGAGGGGCCGGAGCCGGGCGGGCCCGAGGCCGAGGCGCGCGCTGTCCCCCTCCCCTACCCCGTGAGCCCCACCGGCCACCGACGCGCTGTGGCGGGGACAGCCACCCCCGGGACGGTCGTGGGTGCTCCCGCACTTTCTACGGCTGGGTCCCCTCCCTCCCTGCGGCGCTGCGTGTGTAAGTTTGGGGTGCGGAGCGGACGCAGGGGAGGGGGGAGCTTGGGGGTGGCCCCTAGTTTGGGAGGGGTCCCTGCTGGGGTCCGGGCTGCCGTGTGATCGCTTCGCTGCGCCTCGATGAGGGGGTCCAGATGGTGCCACTTGGGAGTGCGCTCGGGGGGCTTTGGCGCTCAGCCCGAGAGGCTGCGTTGTGCGTGTTTTGGGGACGGGGAGGGGGTCGCGATCGGAATGGGACACCCTGGGCCAAGTGGAGGTGTGTCCTTGTCGCTGGAGTCCTGCGTCCCCGTGGGGGTCCGGGCTCGCGTCTCCAACTTTTTTTTTTTTTTTTTTTTTTTTTAGCCCGAGTTGGTGCGTTGGTGTCCCAGGAGGGTGGGGGGCTCCGTAGACTTAAGCGCCTTCTGGGGAGCGTTGGTTTAGGGTCACCGGGTGTCAGGGATCGTCCCCATCTGTGACCACCCCCCGTGGCTTCGGGATCGCGGGGGTCACCCTGTGAGTGTGCGTGGCCGAACCCCCTCCCCCCCGCCTTCCTTTCGTTTTGAACCTTTTTGCGCTTTCCTCCCACCCGAGGACCCGGTCCTGCGCGGGGGGCTCCGTGACGCGCGCGTGACGCCGAGCGGTGGGACTTGGAAGGGGGTCAGACATGAGCCGTCCGTCTCAGACCCTCCTCCCTCCTTCCTTCTGTCGCCCAGGGCCGCAGCCACCTCCTCCCAGATCCCGAGCCGCTGCCTCCGCCGCCGCGGGCCATGGAGGTGGCGCCGGAGCAGCCTCGCTGGATGGCGCACCCCGCGGTGCTGAACGCCCAGCACCCCGACTCGCACCACCCGGGGCTGGCGCACAACTACATGGAGCCGGCTCAGCTGCTGCCCCCGGACGAAGTGGACGTCTTCTTTAATCACCTCGATTCGCAGGGCAACCCCTACTACGCCAACCCGGCCCATGCGCGGGCACGCGTCTCCTACAGCCCGGCGCACGGTGAGCCTGGGGCCTGGGGCTGCTGCTGGGGGACGGGGAAGCCCAGGCTCCGCGCGCCAGGCCAGGCCAGGGAGGGGGTGGCCGAGCCGGGCTGGCCTCTTCCCGGATGTGGGATCCGCAGGAATCGGAACAGCTAAGAAAATCGGGCTGAGAAAGATCGGGGGAGACCCTGGCCCCTTGGAGACGATCTGGAACCTGGAGGGCTTTGCCCCATTTGCCCTGGCCCCCCGGGGTGGTGGTGGGGATCCTTCTGGGCGCCACTGGTCCTTTAACTGGGGACTGACATTCCTGATTCTTAGCGGGGTGGTGTTTCTGGTTTTCTCTGCTGGTCGGTGGTGGTTGGGGATGGCGTGATTCTGGGTCCCCACCCTGATCCCCCCATCCCTCTGCACGCAGCTCGCCTGACCGGAGGCCAGATGTGCCGTCCCCACTTGCTGCACAGCCCCGGGTTGCCCTGGCTGGATGGGGGCAAAGCAGCCCTGTCGGCCGCGGCCGCGCACCACCACAATCCCTGGACCGTGAGCCCCTTTTCCAAGACCCCCCTGCACCCCTCAGCTGCTGGAGGCCCTGGAGGACCCCTCTCCGTCTACCCAGGGGCGGCTGGAGGCAGCGGGGGAGGCAGCGGAGGCTCGGTGGCCTCCCTCACCCCCACGGCAGCCCACTCTGGTTCCCATCTCTTCGGCTTCCCACCGACGCCACCCAAAGAGGTGTCTCCAGACCCGAGCGCCACGGGGGCCGCCTCCCCGGCCTCGTCTTCGGCCGGGGGCAGCGCAGCAGCCCGGGGGGAGGACAAGGACGGTGTCAAGTACCAAGTGTCACTGACCGAAAGCATGAAATTGGAGGGCGGTAGCCCTTTGCGCCCAGGTCTGGCCACCATGGGCACGCAGCCTGCCACCCACCACCCCATCCCCACCTACCCCTCCTATGTGCCCGCCGCTGCGCACGAATATGGCAGCGGACTCTTCCACCCAGGGGGCTTTTTGGGTGGCCCAGCCTCCAGCTTCACCCCCAAGCAACGGAGCAAGGCACGATCCTGCTCAGGTAAGTTCAGGCGCCTGGGGTTTGGTGACCGGGCGCGCGCGCGCTTTTTGGCTTTGGCCGCAGGGTCTTGGATTTGGGAGAGGCACCGTGTCACCCTCCTAAGCTGACAGAATGGGATCAAAGGCAGCCTGAAACTTTTGCTCTGGAGCGAAAGTTCCCTTTCCCCACCCGCCAGCCCCTCTCCAAAGTTGACCCGTGGTTGGAAGTGCAAGAAGGCGCAGGGCGCCTTAGGTGAGGTCGGCCCGTCCTGGGGACATGTGTGTACGTGTGTCTTGGGAGCATTTCAAAGTCTCCAGACCCTAAAGGAATCTGGTTCTCTAACTCAAGTCCCATCTTGGAATCTGATGGCTCCTGATCTCCTGGGGAGATTTTTTTTCCCCCTAAAGCAAAATTCCCAAGACTTGTCCCCCCACCACCACCCCCTCAACCACCCCGCATGCCCTTCACTCTCCCTCCCCGAGGGCTACAGCTAGGGGACAAGTGGACGCAGCAGCCACCACGGGTACCCGCACCGCTTGGCCAGCAGTGGCCAGATCAAACTAGGATTGTCCAGGAATGTGGCCTGGGGGCAATGACCTGTGGCTAGCACCAAGTCCCAGCGGTCTCCATCTCCTCCCCAATCCCTTTAGAGTCAGGGAGAAAGGGAAAAGATTTTTTTAAGTTTTTTAAAAATTTTATTTTAAACTCTGGAGTCTCCTAACCCAAGCGTCCCTTTCTGGGACACGCTGGCCACTTTAGTTTTGAACTCAATCAGGACGAATTTCCCAGGGAATGTGACAGCGATTCCCCGGCTTGATGGCCGCAGGGTCCCCACTGGCTGGCTCTCTCTTCTCCTCCAAGTTTGTTTGGTGTGTGATTTGCAATCCAGATGGTCTTGAAAAAAAAAAACAAAACCAAACCAAAAAAATAACAAGAAACAAGTCACTAAACAACTAAGAAAGAAAAACAACAACAACTCCTCCCTCCTTCCAAGTCCAACACGAAAAGGAACTTTCTATTTATTCTATTTGAAAGAGCAATAACTTCCATCCCTGTCCAGGTCTGAATTCTTAGGGTTTCTAGGGGAAAAGTTGGGGGGGAATTTTTCCTTCTGATCCAGAACTCAAGTTGGGGAGCCTCAGGGCTCCCCGAGATGGCAGATGGACTTGGGGGAACAGATCAGGCAGGGTGCCCCTCTGGGGAAGGAACAAAGGCGTCCTAGGTCCAGCTATGGGACGCCTGTTCTGCTCTGTCTGGGCAAGTCTGGCTTTGGGCTGCCTGGGGGCTCCCTCCCTGGGATCTTGTCCGTCAAGGGGGACCCGCATCTCCCCCTGTCCCCTGTCCAGAAGGGCGAGAGTGTGTCAACTGCGGAGCCACGGCCACCCCTCTGTGGCGGCGAGATGGGACCGGTCACTACCTGTGCAATGCCTGCGGGCTGTATCACAAGATGAACGGGCAGAACCGACCCCTGATCAAACCCAAGCGGAGACTGGTAGGAGTTGGGGTACCTGGGACGGAGATGGGGGGGACTGTACCCCGGGGTGGAGGGAGGGAGGACACCCTCTGGAAATTTTTTTAATTCTTAAAATTCATCTTGGGGCGGGGAGCCAGGCGCGTGCCAGTCATCCCAGCAACTCCAGGGTGGGGGGGAGGCCGAGGCAGGAGGATTGCAAGTTGGAGGCCAGCCTCAGCAAAATCGAGGTTTATTCTAAGCAATTGAGCGAGACTCGGTCTCTCAATAAAATGCAAAATAGGGCTGGGGATGGCGCTCAGTGGTTGCGTGTCCCTGAGTTCAATCCCTCTTTTTTTTAATCATTTGGGGGAATCAGTTTGGGTCGGATCATCCTTCTTTCTAGCCAGATTTTTTTTTCTTTCTTTTTTTTTTTAGTCTAGATTTCTTTCTGTGCAACCCACCAGGTACCCACATGCTTCTCAGCTTGCAAGGGGTAGAGGCAGGGATCCCCCAAATCAAGTGTCTAAAGTTCTTCAACCTTGTCCTCTGGCCTCTACTTTTCCAAAAAAAAATAATAATAATAATAACTAATTTAAAAAATTAAGGCAATGAAGTAATTTTCCCTGTGGCCGGCTCTGATGTCCTTCCCCTGTTCCCAACACAAGCACTTTGTGCTTATTTAAATAAAACACACACACACACACACACAGCAGCCACCCCCCTCCAAAAAAAAAAAAAAAACCTTTATTATTATTTTTTCCATAGAGTCACCTATACTGGGTATTTTCATTTGAGTGATTTTGAAAAAAAAAAAAATATTATGAGTGGCCTTTCGGATCTCCTGTTGAAGTTTCCTATCCGGACACATCTGCAGCCCAAAGATAAGGAAACTGAGTGTATCTGTTTCCGGACTCTGCAAAGGGTTTTAGAGGTGGCTCGGGCTAGGTCCTGCCTCTGGCTGGGCTGTTTTGAAATTTCTAATACCCTCCACTGTGCAAATAATGCGTAAAATGCTAAGAATAATAAATATCTATATATTTTTTTTGCAGGGCCAAGTGATTTATGAGGGCTTAAATCGTTTGCTTGCTTTGGGGGATCCCCCCTTTGCCCACTCCCCACCCCCTTGGAGGGAGGCCGCAGGGAGAGGCTGGGAAGGGGAGGGAGGTAGGTAGGGGTGGAGGCTGAGGCTCGTGGCCCCTGAGTCAGAATTCCAACTTCAGGGACTGACTGAGTCATGGAGGACCCCTCCCTGCCCCAGGGCGGCTGTCCCTGGTCCCCTCTGTGACCTCAGCCTCCTCCTACCCCCAGGCTGGCTGCTGGGTGACTTTAGTCTGGGGTTCTCTGGGAAGTTTTGGGGGAGCTGGGCCTTGGGCCACCTGGAACTATTGATCACTAGAAATGTCCCCATTTAAAAAAAAAAACAAATTGCATCTTAAAATTGCATTAAGTGACAGTAAACTTTCATTTTCAATAGCCCCAGGGGGCGAATCGGTGGCTGTAGGGGACAGAGGAGCCCCGCACTCTCTCAATCTTGACATTTCCCACCCCCTCTCCCTCCTGGGCAGCTGGCTACGGGGTCTCCCTGCCCTGGTCTCAGGGACACGGATGACTCACCCAGGATTTTTTTTTTAATTTTATTTTTCTTTCTTTCTTTCTTTTTTTTTTTCTTTAGTTGTAGATGGACACCATACTTTTAGGTTATTATGAATTGATTTCCATGCGGTGCTGGGGATCGGACCCAGGGCCTCCCACGTGCTAGGCCAGCGCTCTCCCACTGAGCCACCGCCCCAGACCCTCACCCAGGATTTATTTTATTCTTTTGGGTGGGGGGGAGTTACCAGGGATGGAACTCAGGGGCCCTCGACCACTGAGCCCCATCCCCAGCCCTTTTTGTGTTTTTCTTTAGAGACAGGGTCTCCCTGAGCGGCTTAGGGCCTCGCTTTGGCTGAGGCTGGCTTGGAACTCACCATCCTCCTCTCTCAGCCTCCCGAGCCGCTGGGATGACAGGCGACTCACCCAGGATTTTTTAAGGGGAGTCGTAGAGGAGGTGAGAGAGGCAGCTCCTGACCCAGGGGCTGCAAAGGGGCAGACCGAGGTCATGGGTGCCTACTGTAGTTCACAGCCTCCTTCAGGGTCTCAGTTTCCCAATTCTGTTGTTGTTGTTGTTGTTATTATTATTATTATTAGGTACCAGGGATTGACCCCAGGGGTGCTTCACCCCTGAGCCCCGTCCCCAGCCCTTTTTCTATTTTATTTAGAGACAGGGTCTCGCTGAGTTGCTTAGGACCTCCCTAAGTGGCTGAGGTTGGCCTCCACCTGGCGATCCTCCTGCCTCAGCCTCCGGAGCCCCCAGGATTCCAGGCCCTTGGGTTCTGTGATCCTCCGCTCCATTTAGTTCCCAGCTTCTAAAATGCCCTGGTTTTGAGCTGCCTGATGCCCGGGCTCTGAGATCGCCCCCGGTTCTCAGCTGGCGGTGGCAGAGGGGGAGGGGAGGCTGGGGACGGGTGGCCGCGGAGGGAGGTCGAGGCGGGGGCGTGGGAGCCCAGCCCGCTGACGCCGCCCCTCCGCTCCCAGTCGGCCGCCCGGAGAGCTGGCACCTGTTGTGCCAATTGTCAGACGACAACCACCACCTTATGGCGCCGGAATGCCAACGGGGACCCGGTGTGCAACGCCTGTGGCCTCTACTACAAGCTGCACAATGTGAGTCCGCCGCCCCGCCCCTCCCCGGGGGACCTGAGCTCTTTGTGCTGCCCCGGGCGGGCCCGACGGTCCCCTCCCGGCCACAATCTCCAGTTTGGCTTGGCTTGGGAAGCCGCTGTCGCCTGCCAGAGTCACCAGGAGGGCTGCGCCTAGGAAACGGGAGGGGCTGCCCTGAGCAGCTCTGGGTGGGGGGGAGGGGATCAGGGTCAAGGTCAAGGTCAGGGTCAGGGCCAGGGGAGGATCTGGGGGTGCAGGGGGCGGGCAGCGAGGTGACCTCGGGACTGGGGGGGTGTGGCTGGGGTGTGGCCACCCGATCAAGACGCCCTTCCTGAAATGGAGATAGGGAGTTTGATGGGCATGGAAAGGGGGCGTGGCTAGGAGCACCAATCCACGCCCCTTGGAGACCACGCCCCGGAGACCACGCCTCCCGGAGGCCACGCCCCCTGGAGACCCCTGACTCCCCAATGCAGGTCTCCTATGTCCCCTGCAGAAGCGGCCAGTGAGGGGATCTGGTCCAGGGAGGGGGATCTGGTCCTGGGCAGGGGACAGTCCCCAGCTCCTCCCCCACCCTCTGTCCCCTTCACGGTGTCGCGGTGGTCCCTGTCCCAGGTTAACCGGCCGCTGACCATGAAGAAGGAGGGCATCCAGACCCGCAATCGGAAGATGTCCAACAAGTCCAAGAAGAGCAAGAAGGGGACCGAGGGTCTGGAGGAGCTGTCCAGGTGCATGCAGGACAAGGCGTCGCCCTTCAGCGCCGCCGCCCTGGCAGGACACATGGCCCCCGTGGGTCACCTCCCGCCCTTCAGCCACTCGGGACACATCCTGCCCACGCCCACGCCCATCCACCCTTCCTCCAGCCTCTCCTTCGGCCACCCCCACCCCTCCAGCATGGTGACCGCCATGGGCTAGGGGACAAGCCACCCCGCTGGACAGAGACAGATGGACAGACAGAGGCGGGTGGCCCTGGCAGGGCACGCAGCTCCCAGGAGTGGGAGGTGGAGGGACCGGTCCCTTCCACTGTCCCCCGCCCTTCTCTGGACACGGACACCAGCCGGAGCCTAAAGCCACCTCCTTGTCGCCTTGGAAGGCCACCATACCCCGGGGGCCCCAGCAGCCTGTCTGCAAGTTACTGTGAATATTTTTCACCTGGGCTGGGGGGTGGCCCGTCCAGGTGACATTTCCTTCATGAACAAGGTTCAGAGAGCAAAAAAAAAAAAAAAAAAAAATAATAACCTTTTATGGTGACAGAGGTAAGGACATGGAGGGCTCTGGGGGACAGGTGTCTGCAAATCTCAGCCTGTGTCCTGGGCTGAGCCAAGGCCAAGAGGGGTTGCTGGTGGTGGATGGCAGTGACCAGGGGACACCAGCCTTGTGCACCCTGAGAGCTGGCGGGGCCCTAGAAGGCAGAGACAATCGCGGGCGGTCCCCACAGTGGTTCCCAGGCCCCGGGGCGGGTCACAGGAAGGAAACAACATTTTTCTTGAAAGGGGAAACGTCTCCCCAGATCAGCTCCCTGGGCTTTAAGACCAAAGCTGGACTGCGATCCCCGTCTGTATGTGCCCTTCACGGGGCCCAGAGCCATGATTGGCCTCCCTTCTCGGCCAGGTAGACCTCTGTAAATACATCCTTTTTCTGACCACGCCCCCTTTCCCCACTCTGAGATCAAGAAGAAACTATTAAAAATGAAAAAAAAATTCAGACTGCATACGTTGAACTCACCCATGAGTTAATTGTCTTATTTTGAAACTCGTTTTTGGGGTCCAGTCATTGATAGGTGACCCACAGGAGTCCTGCTATATATATATATATATATATATATTAAAAAAAAATTCAAACCCATGGGGGAGCTTGGAGATTATTTCTGGAAAGTTCTTGGATCCCACAAATCCTAGCAGGAGAGCTGGGAGTAACCAGCTCTTGGTTTTGGGGGGCAGTGGCAGGCTGGTGGGGGACATCTAGGCTGAGTCAGTCCCCCTGTGGGGTCCCCTGGTTTTGGGTGGGTGGCCCTCTGGACCCTTCCAAGGTACAGCTGTACATAGACACGTCCTAAGCTTCAGAGTTCTGTAGGTGGTGATCTTGGGGGGTGCCGTGGCTGGACAGGGGACCGTCCCCCACCCCCATCCCCAGCTCTGGAAGACACCTGTCCACCCAGTGCCATGTCTTGGGCTGGGGACCAAATCACCACACCCCAGAAAGTAACTTATTTTGTACTAGTATCCGCCTGAGGAAAAAAAAAAAAAAGAATGGGCAGTATTTTCTGTTTTTCTGTTTTCTTGGGGCTTGTTTTATTTTGGATTTAGTGAACTAAGTTATTGTTAATTATGTACAACATTTATATATTGTCTGTAAAAAAAAATTGTATGCTACCCGCCTATCCTGAAAAGTGAATACTGTTAAGAATAATAAAAAAAAAATACTTTTTTTGGTGAATCGCTCTATATAACCTGTTTGGTGGGGTCTCCCCCAGGGGACACCCCAGGAGAGAGATTGTAGGGGGGATCTGATGCTTCACTATTTAAATTTTTTTTTTAATTTTAAAAAAATTGTTTTGTATCTGGGGGTTTCTTGGAAAAAATCCCAACCTGACACCCAGGTACTTCTCCCCAGGGACATTTCTGATCTCTGAGATACCTGGTCACCCCTGTTCCAGCGGCTCGGGAGGCTGAGGCAGGAGGATTGCAAGGTGGAGGCCAGCCTCAGCCACCGGGAGCGAGGAGGCCCTGAGCCACTCAGGGAGACCCTGACTCTCAATAAAATAGAAAAAGGGTCTGGGGATGGGGCTCAGAATATCATGACAGATATTCTTGGTGGATGACATCTCTGATCCCCAGAGACTGTCTTCAGACTTGTGCTTCCTCACAACCGATCACTGATACCGATCACCGATAATCATTCATCGAGGCCTCCGATCCATGATGTGTCTGATCACCCAGATCGACAAAGGGTGATCACTGTCCCCACTCACCCATAGCCTGCCTGCTCATGAATCTCCCTTCTCATCCATGTTTCTGATCGCCAAGGTATTGATCACCAATGCACTGTCACTAATGTCACAAATAAGCTCACCAATGTCCTCGATTGGTCTTTTTCTTTTCTTTTTGAAAGTCTCATGATGTTGTCCGGGCTGCTGTCAAACTCCTGGGTTCAAGGGCAGGCCACCAAGTCAGGGGATCAGTTTTTTTTTCTCCTAATGATCATGTGTGATCTCCAATATCTCCAATCCCATTACCAATGTCTCTTTTTTTGTGGGGGGACAAGGTGTGGGTGGAACCAGGGACTGAACCCAGGGGGCACTTGACCCCTGAGCCCCGTCCCCAGCCCCTTTTTCTATTTTATTGAGAGACAGGGTCTCCCTGAGTGGCTCAGGGCCTCGCTCAGTGGCTGAGGCTGGCCTCCACCTTGCGATCCTCCTGCCTCAGCCTCCCGAGCCACTGGGAGGACAGGCGTGGGCCACCGCACAATGTTCTTGGTCACTTGTGTCTGATCATTAATATCTCTAACCAACAATACAGCCTGATGTCCAAATGTCCCTGATCATAGACTCCTCTCACCACCAAATTTTCTGCCAAAGCCGATGACCCATCCAACCCAGTCACCTGCCTCCGGTGACCAAGGTCTCTTATCACCAATATCTCTGATGTCCGACATCCGAGATGGCTGCCTCTTCTTCTTCAGGGTCCCCAAGGGCTTTAGCATCAACCTCCCTGGCCACCAGTCTAGTGATTGTCCCTAGTCATTGGTATCACCGGTCGCCCACATCTCTGATGACCAAAGTCTGTACCCCCCCCCTTGGCTCTGGTCACCAAGTTTGAACGGCAACAGGTCACTTAGGACCCTGCGGACGCCATGATGGCACAATCACCGAATCTGATCACCCATGTCCTGCAGGCCCTTGGTCACCGAGGACCTGAGGACCCCATGCTTTCCCTGTGGATGCTCCTGGTGACCCACACCCATGATCCTCATGTCCCCGATCAGTGTCAATCCATGATCGTTCACCAAGTACGGCCTCCTCATTGGTGCATGACCATGACCTCCCCACCTTCACCCTCTCTCATGACGACTCCCGGATCCAGATCCCTCCAAAACCACCATCATCAGCTGGGCACGGTGGCCCACACCTGTCATCCCAGTGGCTCGGGAGGCTGAGGCAGGAGGATCGCCAGTTGGAGGCCGGCCTCAGCAAAACCTCAGCAAAACCTCAGCAACACCCAGAGCCCCGTCGTCCTCAGCCCTATTTTCTATTTGATTGAGAGTCAGGGTCTCGCTGAGTGGCTCAGGGCCTCACTCAGTGGCTGAGGCTGGCCTCCACCTTGCCATCCTCCTGCCTCAGCCTCCCCAGTTGCCGGGCGCCGCGCCTGGCTCCGGTCACCCCATATTTTTGGGGAGAGCACCGTGCCAGGCACTGTGGTGGGTTCCCTCAAACAGGAAATAAGTAGATGAGCAGGTTGGTGCCCCCAGGCCACCATAGCTCCAGACCTGGCACCACAAAGTGGCCTCCTTTGTAGGGCTGAGGCTGGTTTTCTAGACCCTGGGGCCTGGCGCCAGGGCGGCCGGGGTGGGGCTGGTCTTTGTACCATTTGTTTGCTCCCAGGTGGGGCCGGCTGGCCCTGGCCTCCTTCCCTCCAGCTGGGCCATTTCCAAGCCTCTCTTTGGCTCTCCCAGTTTCAGAGGAAGGATCCAAACCCGGGTGACCTCCCTTAGCCAAAAGTTGAGTCCTGCTCCTGAGCCCTCCCGGGGACCTGCTATGAAGACAGGGAGGGACAGAGATTTCCAAGGGATCCTCAGGGCACAGGGACACACACCGCCCTGGGGGAGGGAGGCTGTTCAAAGGAATCCCTGTGGTCCACCCAGACAGAGGGACAGATTCACCTGGGGCAGGGGATTCCCAGAGCGGGCGGGTCCCAAATGACACACGACAATTCGATTCAAATTCCATTTTTCTTTTTCTTTTTTGGTCCCAGGGGTGCTGAACCCACGGAGCCCCGTCCCCAGCCCTTTTTTTATATTTTATTTAGAGACAGGGTCTCGTTGAGTGGCTCAGAGTCTCACTCAGTGGCTGAGGCCGGCCTCCACCTTGCGATCCTCCTGCCTCAGCCTCCCGAGCCATTAGGATGACAGGCGTGTGCCACGGCACCCGGCTTTTTAAAAAATTTTTATATTTTTATTTTAAGGTAAGATGATTTCAAACTTGAAAAGAGGACAAGCAAGCCCAGCAGGATAAATCAGAAAATTAGAGGAGATATAGGAGACAGAGAGAACATACCTGTGAGTGTGTGTGTGTGTGTGTGTGTGTGAAATGCTTTCCAATGTCCAACCAGATTCTATTGTCACAATAGTTCAAACTTTTTGCTTCATGTTTGTAACAAGGAGCAGATCAGCCAGGCCCTCGGTGGCACGCATGCCGGTCATCCCACAGTTTGGGAGGCTGAGGCAGGAGGATCGCAAGGTGGAGGCCAGCCTCAGCCACTGAGCGAGGCCCTGAGCCACCCAGCGAGACCCTGTCTCTAAATAAAATAGAAAAAGGGGCTGGGGACGGGGCTCAGGGGTTCAGCACCCCCTGGTATAAAAAAAAAGTGGATTAAATGGTTTCAGGTTAGGAGAGTCACATACAAAGAGGTGACAGTGACGGTCGATTTCTGGGTCTCTTCCCTCAAAGGAAAGGGCTTCTCTTTCTCTGGAGGCCCTGCCTCTGTCTCCACCAGACCCCTGGTGCCTGGGCCGACCTGGGTGTTGGGGACAGCGGGTGCTCACAGGTCCACATACACCTGTGTCCTAGGCGGGACCCTCGGGAGAGATTGATCTTCCTGTCCCCGTTGGTGTCTGTGGGGACTGGAATCCAGGGCTCCCGCCCGCCAGGCCAGTGCCTTCCCATGGAGCCACGTCCCAGTCCTAAAGATTTAATCTTGAAACAGGTCCCTGCAACCTACCCAGCTGGGTCACCGCCCCCCAACTCCATGACCACAGAGTCCCTGGGAATGTCAGAGGCTGGGACCAGCCTTTTTAGAGAGCAGAGAGGGGGACAGAGAATTTCAACAAAAAGATGGGACAATTTTTTTTTTTTGTTTTTGTTTTGCAGGGCGGCAGATTGATCTGGGGTGGTGCTTTGGAAAGGAGCCCCGAGATGCTCCCCTTTCCAAGACTTAAAATTGCTGCACCATTACCCAGCAGCCTTTGCAAAAAGTTCTAGAACTTGAGATTTTTTTTCAGGACCCTCCAATTTCTT